AGCTCCCATTAGCCAGGAACAGGGAACCATGGCCAATGGGAGCTTTGGGGGTGGTACCTGCAGGCGAGGGCAGAGTGCGACGGAGCCACCTGCCCCACCCCACCCCCAGGAGCCACTGCCGGACATGCCAGCCACTTCCGGGAGTTGCGTGGGGCCAGGGCAGGTGGGAGCCTGCCTTAGTCCTGCTGTGTGCCACTGCCACCCTGGAGCCACTCAAGGTAAGCGGCGCAGGGCCAGGACCCACACCCCCAACCCCCTGCCCTGAGCCCCCTCCTACACCCTGCACACTACCTGCACCCGAACCCCTTGCCCTGAGCCCCTTCCTGCACACCACACCCCCTCCCACACCCTGCATCCCCTCCCACATCGCAGGCTATTTAGGGCTGCACAGGTCCCCCGGCCTGGCCCAGCCCCTCTGGAGCTGCCAGGGAGAGGAGCCCCTCCGTGGGCCTGCCCCAGGCCCTCTGGAGCTGCCCTTCCCCCAGCTCAGCCCCGCCAGAGCTGCCGCAGTGAGGGAGGGCTGGGGGGAGTCCTCTCTCCCCGCAGCAGCCTCAGGGCAGCCTGCACCTCAGCCAGAGTCCTAACCCCTCCCCCCACACCCCAATCCTCTGTCCTAGCCCTGAACCCCCTCCTGCACCCTGAACTCCTCACCCCCAGCCAGAGCCCACACACCCCAACCTGCTGCCCTAGCCTTGAGTCCCCTCCTGCACCCCAATCCCCTCATCCCCAATCCCACCCCAACTCTCTGCCTCAGCTCTGAGCCCCCTCCCACACTCCGAACCTCTCGGTCCCACCCCCACCTCATATCACCTCCATATTGGTGCACATAATAAAATTCATTCCGCACATTGACATACAAAATTTGAGGGAACACTGGTGTACACTTATCAATAGTTACCTTTCCTATCTAACAAATAGGTTTTCTCCACAAAGTTCATTTGTTTGCAGAGCCGACTGGTTGTGCAAGAACCAGAATACAAATGTTCATGAAAACCCCACATTCCTTAAGGGGTTTCCTCAGTGAATGGACCCAGAGTGCCTTTCTCTACATTCTGTTATACTAAAACAGTGTTTTGTCTTTATTCATCGCCAGGGTGATCTCCTGCCTGCTATAATGTCCCTTTTCATGTCCAAATGGTTTCAATTGTTTGCTGTTGTCTGAGATGGTTTTCATTGCTTGCTCTGGGATATGGCAAGGGTAGACAACAGAACCTTGCCTTGCCTCACCAGCTGACTAGGCAGGGGTGACAACTCCCTCTTCCTGGAGTGGGCCATCACTGAGAAATATTACCCTGGTGACTAATTTTAGTTACAAGCTTTCTGTAGATACTTCACATGTTGCCCTTTATGGATAAATATCCTGTAATATTTGTTTGGTATAGTGAGTTTGTCAGGTCTGAGGTGAGAGATGTTTGCAAAGAACAGGGGACCCTTTGCCCAGGGGTCTCTGTGTCATAGGTATGCCTTCAGAAAATCCGTGTCATAGAGATTTGCAGAGCCAACGCTTGGCGCTCAGTCCATACCTTTGCCCAGCATTACTGTTGATCTCACCTTGAGGTCTGATGTCCAGTTCAGGAAAGCAGACTTCCAGTCATTCTTTAGGTAAGAGAGCTGCTTCTGTCCTACATCCTTGGTGTTTATCACTGCTTTTTTTTTTGGATCTGTAGTGATAATATCAAAAGGCAACAAAAAGGTTATTCATCTGTAAATGAAGCTCTTGAATAGGTTGTTAATACAGATCCAGACAAGAGACCTCGCCCTCCATCCCCACTTCTTTGAAATCTGTTAGGCTTTGAGGAAGTGGAAGGGCACAAACACAGTTAGCCTATGATTTTAGGAGGGGGATTTTCAAAAGCACTAGTTGTTGGAAGTCTAACTCCTCTCCAAGTAACAATGAGCCAATGTTGAGCACTTTTTGAAAATTCTATCCTGTCTTCCTGTCAGAAATGGTTCCTAATATTTCAGAATGTTTTAACAATTGCAGTTTAAATTACCTATCCCCAACCTCCAAAGGGAATGGTGACAAACTGTGGTTACAGAATACACAGCATGGAAGAAAAAAAATTATGTAGGCAAAGAAACAATCAGAAATCCTGCATAGACAGAATTAATGACAACTTTTATGAGATGAACTAAACGCTTCATAAGGAGAACAAATATTTTCTTGTTCTTATTTTCTTTAATGCAGCATTCTACTAAAATATTAAGGTAAGTCACAGACACATTTAAAATCCCATACTAAGTTTCTGTTTATACTCTTACTTTAGCTCTTCTTGCATGATTTAAGCTTGTTTGATACGTGTTGGAAAAAAATATTAAGAGAGAGTACATGAATGAATGGATACTATTATGGTACTATTTTTGTCAGCGCAAAACAAACTGTCTTCATCAGTTAATGGGAGAAGATAGTGTTTTCACAAACCCTCTCTCATCTGTTCCTTCCTTGGAACAAGAGACTGGTGAATTCATGCATAAATGGTTTCAGGACCAGATTTTTAAACCTGCAGTTTATGGGTGCAAATATCTGCAGGTGCATCTTGAATCATTTAGGTGCTTAGTACCTGGTTGTACCCATATATAAGGTTCTTAGATCTCTAAAAGGCCTACTTTATGGCTGTAACATGACATTAGAAAATTCTGGAATTCGCAAAATAAGCGATCCAGTTATAGTCAGGCTGAAATACTGACACTACATGTTAGTAGTTTGTCTGCACAACAAAAGTGTGTGTAGGGGACACAAAGATGAGATGACAGAATGATGGAGCATAAATATATAAAAAGTTGTTCTGAATTGAAATTTGAGGTAATTAGGCATCTTTTATAGTGTTTTCTTTTTTGAGTTTTCAGTTTCAGAACCCTGTTTTAAATTTTCTTCTCCTTTATGTCTACAGCATACAAAGAAAGAGTTGTATCTGTGTGCAGTAATTTGGTTTGTAGTTAACTTATGCACAGACACAAAATAGTGTTGTGCCTAAAAGTCAATAATATTGTATTGCTAACTTAAATGGGGAGATAATCATTGTGATGTTTAATGGAGTATAGTCAAGAGAATATTTATGCTGGTCAGATGCTAGTGGAGCACTCTTGGTGACTTCTTTGCTTGGAGCAGTCATCTGGGGAGTGACAGCTGGGGTGAATATTTGACTCAGTTGATCTTCCCATTGGAATAAATGGCTAGTGTGGCAACACAATTAGATTTCTGAGCATACTAATGAGTAACTCTGAAGTCAATTAAAGGCAAGCGAAACCCATTTATGATTTTAGTTTATGTAAGAAAATTGTCATTTATAATTCAGCATAACAAATCTGATATTCCTTCATATCAGAAATTATAGGTATTGGGTGCAAGTGTTGGGGGGAAGGTTGTAATTTATAGAGTTGTTTCAAGCTTTGCTCAATTTTACTTTTCTATTTTTGTATGTAGCCCTTTACCGGTGTTAAATGTAAATTAAAATTTCTCTTGGTCAAACCATAATTTACAAAAGGGATAGAAGAGGTTCTAATGCAACTGCCTTCAATCCAAGCCACTCTATAATAAAAAGGAAGCCAGGGAGACTTCCTTTAGCTCTGGAAAGCACCACTAAACTGCAAGGTTTACAGCTGCTCAGATAGAGATCATCAGAATTCAAAATCACTCTTATTGTTTAGTCACATGTTGATTAGTGGTGTTAATGCACTCACCAGAATGGTGATAAACATCTGGAGAAGGGTGTGTAAGGAGTGTTCTTGAAGCTAAAAGTATTACAGTGCAAATGGATCCAAAAAAAGTGGAAAGAGGAGATTGGGTAGTAGGTAAAAGTGGAGGAAAACAAAAGTAAAGAAAAATATTTGTGGAATACCCTTTCACTTGTTTTACTTTGATTTGTCCTAATTTATTCATGTCTATTCATTCTCTGCATTGGAAACTATGGATATAATTATCACCTAATACTTAAGAAGCAAAATTACACCTTCAATAGTCACAGGGATACTAACCCTGCCTGTTTTATTCTTTTATATTCGACATAGTAGGATTCAGGTAAAAGAGGCATTTAGCTTTAATGTTTATTTACAGAAGTTGTTTTGTTTCAACATTCGTTTAAGTGGATAATATGTGAGTGTGCAAAGCATGTATACATTTTTAAATCATTATGCCCTGGTTCAACTAATTTTCAAGTAACTTTTGTTTATCTTGGATATTTTTATTAATTGGAAGATCTTATTGATTTTCCTGTGGAATATTTAATAAAAAAACAACAATGTAATCTTTCTGCAAGTGGCAATAGCAGTAAGAAAGGCTGAGTTCAACATGACTAGTCATACCTTTAAAAATAAAAATAAAAACATTTGGTTCAAGTCACCATTGAAATTGTATCCACATGCAGGTTTTAGGAACTTAAATCCTAAACACTAGTTGCCTTCACAGGGTTTTTTCTCTACTCTGAAAGCACACGAGAGTTCTTTCATTTTTCAAATTGAAATAAATCTCTATTTAAAAAACAAAAAATTAAATGAACAAAAAGAGAAAAAGAACTATGGATATATGGCAGATTTCCTGGGCTCAGTGGTTAATTGACTAGTTTGCTGGGGGCCCAAATTACTGTTCAGATACAGTCCCCATTTACCTAAACCTGACTCAAGAATCCAGTTAGACTATGTGGCAACCCAAGTGAGTGCCTCCCATACACTTCTGCCAGGCATGGCCCAGTCCAATCAAGTCAGCAATAGCCGGTCTGCTCCAATCCAATCTGTCAAAGTTGCTGCCACCAGGTCTGCTGCTGCCAGGTTCTGGTTCAGCAAAGCCAGCTGCACGAGGTCTACTCTGGTCCATTATTATCAGGTTCAGTTTACAAAGTCACCTCTATCAGGTCTATTGTTGCCAGGCCCTGATTCAGTGAAACCAGCTCTACCAGGGTTCAGAACTGCGAGTGGGAAGCCTATAAAACAACATGGGGTATGAAGTGACACAAATGTATTTACTTCAGGCTGATGCTTTAATTTGTTCTTTTTTTCTTATTTAGCTGAAAAATAGAGGAATGGCAAATTACTGCTTTGATTATAATCCTCCAAATGAGCATGAAGTAACAGGGCACAGAATCATATTATATCCATGCCACGGCATGGGACAAAATCAGGTAAGATTTGTTTTTTACTGTAGTTATGATGAGTGTTATGATTAACTGTCTTAGGATGTATGATACAAAGTAAAAATGCTCCACAGTATTTCTGAGGGGACATGTGGCCACTGCAATGTGATCTTTGTCAGCACCATTCCTATTTTTGTGTCCTCCATGAGATTCTGTTAACTTTCTTGTGCCCCATAGAAAACAAGTCAGGTTTTCACAGTTCTAAGTTGCATTTGGAAGATAACTAGGCCATGTTGACCCATCTAAGTCTCCCCACATCTGTCAAGCAATTGTACCTTTTAAAATGTGTTCTCATCTGAATACTTGTCTAACTTTTTAAAATATATACATATTAATTGCCTTCCTGGGTAAAAGGTGTTTCTTCTAAACTCCCTTAGAATCTGATCCTTTCTCAGCTTTGGTTTTTGCGTTCTTGGTTTGAAGCCTGTTAGCCTCACCATACTTCTCATGGTTTGAAATACCAAGTACAAAAATGGCTTTAGTTTTGTGTACAATTTTAATCTATTTACATACAGTCATGAGACCTTAACCTTCTGAAAGTGTTGCAGGGCTCCAGGACTGTAATAACTTAAGATATTTGAGTAAGTAGCCTTTTAATGCTGGGGTTTCACATAACTCTGAGGACTGATTGGTGCCTCCACATGCCAGCACTCTTTCTGATGTATTGGTGTATCAGCCATCCTGGTATGTCCTTAGTCCTGGAATGAGCCAGAAGAGGTACGGCGTGCCCATAGTGGAAGTGGTGGTCAAATATCTAGGTGTGTGGTTGAGAGGCAGAGGAGTGTAAGTGTATGGCAGGAGGGACTAGAAAACTTGGGCAGGTGGCTGGGTTTGGGGTGGTGAACAGGGACAAGGATAAATAGTTTCAGAGGAGCCCCAGAGTTGAGGAGGGTCATGCAGTTTACCAGTCATCTTTGTAAACTTCTGGAAACTGTCAGACTATGAAGAAACTTAAAATATAAAGGGGTGTGAGCAAAGCTATCTTCAAAGGGAAACTTTCAATACAGAATCCATTTTACCTTCTTTTTGGGGGGGAAAAAAGGTATTCCAAGCTTCCATTGAATTTAATTGAGAACAGAGTTGTTCCTGCCATGATTTATCATATGGCGGTAAGATTTATTATTAGTAGCTGTATTATCAGTGTTAGTATTTAATAGTATTGGTTGTTTAGATTGCAGCAGAGGCCAAAATGTGTGGGTACTTTCTAAACACAGGAAACAGTCCCTGCCCTGAAGACAAAGACAGATGAAGGGTGGGGGTGTAGTTATACATCATAAAGCCAAGGGATTTGGGTGAGGTTAAGCATATCTTAGATTTTAAGCACACTAAATGTCATCCTTTCCTTGTTCCACAATTCAGTCCTCCTCCCCCAACACGCTGTTTCAAATGAGTAGTTCAGTGAGATGATTAATGAAATAGATAAACAGATAATTTAGTCAGCTAGCTTCTTGTTAGGAAGAAGTGACTACTTCCATGGATTGACATCGGAGCTAATCACATCCATAGGAATGGATGAACTCCAAAAGGCACTCATCCAGTAATTTTACACTCAGGGGTTTCTGTTCCTTTTTAGGATATTTTCATATTCTAATGAAAGAATTTCAACAAAAACATTAATTTCAGATTTGTTCCAATAGAAAAAAAAAAATCAGGGTACAAGAGCAAAACCAATAGAGAGAACTATTTATTTTCCTGCTTTTAAAAGGTTATTGTGACAGGACGACAATTTGTAATTCTTTTTTTTTTTTATTAGAAATAGAAAATTAACTCCCATTCTATTGTGAAGATATCACAATATAACACCCCCCCCACCAGCTCCCAGTCTTCCTATGCAGTCAACAGGAATAGTAAAAGGCACATCCCTGACAGACAGGCCACCCCCTGCCAAATTTCAATGCCCTGCTCCAAAACATGGGGGCACTCATAGAAGATGTCACCAGAATTTGCTAGTGTTGCACAAGGGTGTGGGACTCCCAAGTTAAAGTCCTTGCTCCAATGACTACTTAATTTATAAAAATGGAACAGCATTAACAGAGGAGGTTAGGAGTCCGCTCCAGAATATCCCATAGACCTGTGGCTAGGACACTCTTTTGCAACATGGGAGTTCCAAGTTCAAATCTCTTTTCCAAGCAGCCAGAGGGGGAAATTGAACCCAGATCTCCCACATTCCAAGTAATTACCCTAACCACTGGGCTAAAAGTTATAAGGGTGGCATCAGTCTGAGGGGTGTATAGAAGGAAGATATTTGGACTCATTGGGGAAAGAAGATGAGGCCAGTGTTGGCTGCAGTAGCTGATCCATTATTGTTTGGAGTGGTAGGAGCCAAATCTGCTTGGATGCAAGTCTGAAAGCAGGCTGAACACCACTTCCAGTCTGGGAAGCTTTGTCAGTGACAGGTTGTAGCTGGCCTTCATGTTCAAACCCTCAAAAGTCCAGTGCCTTTCTCAGTATGGTTAAGAATCAGTGGTGAGAGATCACACTGATTAGGCTCAGCTGGAGTATTCTGTCCAGTTCTGGACACAAGATTTCAGGAAAGATGTGGCTGAATTGGAGAAAGTCCAGATAAGAGCAACAAAAATTATTAAAGATCTAGAAAACATGACCTATGAGGGAAGATTGAACAAACCCAGTTTTTTCAGTCTGGAGAAAAGACGACTGAGGTTGTTACAAGGAAGAGGGAGAAAAATTGTTTAACCTCTGAGAATAGGACAAGAAGCAATGGGCTTAAATTGCAGCAAGAGAGGTTTAGACTTGAACATTAGGGAAAACTTCCTAACTTTCAGGGTAGTTAAGCACTGGAATAAGTTGCCTAGGGAGGTTGGAGATTTTTAAAAACAGGTTAGAGAAGCACTTGTCAAGGATGGTCTAGATAATATTTAGTCTTGCCATGAGTGCAGGGGACTGGACTAGGAGACCTCTTGAGGTCCCTTCCAGAATTCTATGATTATGGGTCCCCCATGATAGAATAAAATTTCTAGGGATCACCATTGGAGCTAAGATGACATTGTGGCCATGGGGGAGGCTGATTCACAGAGCACTCATCACAGGGATGTTACTGTTTCACAACTGATCATTTTTAGACAAATGGGAAGTGGAGGGGTGGAATGTAAAAGCCTGGTTTTGTGAGCAGGTCCCTGAGAAGGGAACATAAGGCAGCTTATGTCGACCTAATGATGTAAGTGTACACACAACCGCCTTGTCCCACCAGTGTAAGTGCCCTACTACACTGACATCATAACTCCACCTCCACGAGAGGCATAGTGCTTACGTCAGTGTAGTTAGGGTGATGCAGTGTCTGTGTAGACACTGTGTTACTTCCATTGGCTATTGGCTATCTTGTCAATTTCATGGCTCCAGAAGCCGTGAAATTGACAAGCCAGGTAGCTAGAACCCCGCTACCCCCAGCTCCCCACTCCCAGCTGGGCTGCTGCCTGGAGTCTTCCCACTCAGAGAGCTGAGAAGCCGAGGTGGCTGGCCCCCACTCCCAACTAGGAGCTGACAGCCAGGGGGGACTGCTGGGCTCCTGGCAGGGAGCTGAGAGCCCTGACTTTCAGCCCTCCACACTGCCACTCTTCAGTCAGTGGAAGTGCCCCTGGCAAGGGTGCACACCACCGACAGAAGGAGGGTAGTGTGGACATCAGCCACCACAATAATTACTGTAAGTCAAGCTAACATAGGTCAACTTAGGGCTGTAGTGCAGACATACCCTCAGTTCCACACTGATAGGGAGTGTTTGCTGAATATTTCCATATTGGCTCTATAGAATGTATTAAACGCATCTCCTTGTGCTGCTACAAAGACTAGTTTGGACTGTGATGTAGTCCCTCCCCAGCAAGGTGTGCTCAACATGAGGAATAAGAAATCAAATCAAGAAATATAACCTTACTCTCCTGCATGGGAATGTGTGATGTGCTAATTATGACTATTGATATTTCCATTATTCATAAAATTGAGATGGTTGGTACTTTCTTTAAAAAGTGGTGTGAACCATGTTGCAAGTAGAGCTGGTTGAAAATTTTTCAGTGGAACAGTTTAGCATCAGAAAATGCAGGTCTGTGAAAATTGAGACATTTCATTGGAACGTGTCGATTTCAACAAACTTATGGGAGGATGAATCATTTCAATAATGTCAAAATGTTGTGTTTCAATATTATTTCAGTTCATTTTGTTTACATTAATTTTAAAATTATATATCTAATATTTTATTTTTTAATGTTTCAGCATTATCAAAATGAAATGCTTCTGTGGTTTCAAATAAAAAGTTTTCATTCCATAAGAAAATTCAACATTTCGTTCCAATTCTTTTTTAAGTCAGCATTTCCCACAGAACAGAAATTTCATTTTCAGTGGTTTGAGCCAGGGCCGGCTCTGGCTTTCTGGCCACCCCAAGCATAAAAAAAAAAAAAAAAACCCGCGGGGGGCGGGAGGGGAAAGGAGCAGGGGGAGAGAGAGAAGGGGGCGGCCAGGGCTTCAGCGGGGCGCTATCACGCGGCCCCTCCCACCGTGCCCCCTGCCGGGAGGGCTCCGCACTGCTCTAGTTGGCTGGGAGGGAAGGACGCGGGCTGCCCTGCCGGGCTTGCTGCAGGGCACTCCCGTCCTCAACGCTGCTGCCCCCTACAGGGCGGCTGGAGTGGAACAAAACAAAACAAAAAAAAGCAGCCGTGCCGCCCTAGGATTGGGCGGAATGCCGCCCCCTACAAGCTGCCGCCCCAAGCACTAGCTTGCTCGGCTGGTGCCTGGAGCCGGCCCTGGTTTGAGCATTGGCCTGCTAAACCCAGGGTTGTGAGTTCAATCCTTGAGGGGGCCACTTAGGGATCTGGGGCAAAAATCAATACTTGGTCCTGCTAGTGAAGACAGGGGGCTGGACTCGATGACCTTTTGAGGTCCCTTCCAGTTCTATGAGATAGGTATATTGAGATATATTTATTTTGATTTATTTAGTTACAAAGCATTAGGCTCTTACAATGTGGCTTCTGGAAGCTTATGTGATCTATAAAATGTGGTCCTCCAGCAGTTCTCTATAGTGGCTTTTTAAAAGTATTTTTAAATTATTTACCTTGACCTATCAACACTAGAATATTTTGTACATATTAACATTGGGTGCTTGTAACGGAGTTGGGACTCACCACCTGGCACCTCCTATTGGTCGTCTCAGGAATTAGCTCAGTCCAGTGGAGCGCCCTCTTCTGGTGGTGTCCCACCCATTGTCTCGCCCTTGGTTGGCGTTTGAGCCCGCGTCGCTCTCCAGCTCGTGGCGTCCTCTTCAGGACCTCCAGCAATGCCCCTCAGTCCATCCACACCCCCTTCGGGGGGGAGGTGGGGGTGATCAGCAGTCCCACACCCCAGCCATCATGTCCAACCACACCCTCTGAGTGTGATCCCTCTTGTCTGGAATCTGGCATAGTCTATAATGGCTGCTCCCTATGGCCAATGGCTGGGTGTACTGCAAGGGGGGGATCCCGGCCCAGGGACCCTCTGGCAGCAGCCTCACTGTCCTTCTCTCCCCTCCGTCTGTCCATGTCCCTGGGCCGCTTCCCCTTCAGCCCCTCACACCGGCTAGGCCCTTCCCCTCAGGGCCTGCAATCTAGCAGACACCAGGCTGGAGTTCTCTTCTGCTCCCCCAGGCCTGCCCAACACTGCCCTGTCCCAGGTGCTAGTCTCCCCCTCTGGAGACAGACCTTCCACTCTCAAAGGCCTGGGACAGACTGACTGCTCTCTCCCTGAGCAGCCTTTTTATAGGGCTGAGCCTGGCCCTGATTGGCTCCCAATAAGCCCTTCCCCGATTGGCTGCCCATCTGCACAGGCGCACTGGCCTGCTGCAGCCTAAATCCTCCAGGAATGGGGCAGTTGCCCCACTACAGTGCTGTTTTCAATTGTTTCAGGTATATTTGTTTCCATAAAGCCTCAGTCATACTTCCTAAAACTGTTTTGTAAATGGTTTTCTCTTCTATGCTGTCAGTTAAACTGTTTTTAACACTAGGGCAGCTGCACTGATAACAATGTGTACGATATTTTCTGGGGTGGATAAGTCTCTTGTCTTACCATAGTAAGTATAACTTAGTCTCCCTAAAACAATTTAAACATCCCTCACATCCATGCATAATAGTGCTCAAGATGATTTACAAGCATGCTAAATACAAATAACTATTTAAACTTCGCCCATACCCTTTGATGAAGTCCAAATTTTGGCAAAAATCCGTGATAAATATCACTGTAGCTCCAGGAAAAGCAGGAAAAAAATCTGGTTTTGCTAGAATTCCTAGCAAATTTCTATTACCCCACTTATTACCATTACAGCATTTTCAGCCTTAATGGCACAAGGTGTGAGATGCCCAGGAATGCAACCAAAACTGGATTGTAGAGTATCATACAATAACCAATGCCACACAACTTCCTTAAAATCCTATTTATGTTTAAAAGAAGCTGTACCTAATTTTTCTGAGAATATCATCCTGAAAATTGATGTAGTGAAATGCACTTCATCTTGCATGCTGTAAACTGTAATTGGAAACAAGTTTTTGATTAAACTGAACATTTTAAAGTTTCAATGAACAACAAACTTCTTAATTAAAAATGACATTATTTGTGACACTAAAATTATGGAGGCCTAGTGTCAATCTATAAACTAGTCTCCATCCCACTGTAGTGATGATATAGATTAAAAACTATTGCATTACAATCAAACTTTTAAATCAACCTGTAAGCTTTGTAACTTTTTCAGTATAGGGAACTCTGCTTTCCTTCATGTTTGTACAGCATTTAGCACATTGTGGGTGCTACCAGAAACAATATGTGGTGATAATACTGCTGCAGGATTGCTTTCACATAGAAAGTAAAGTAAGTACTAGTAGTCAAGACTCCTGGAACGAAAACTCTCAACAGAATTTCTCTCCAACTCTAAATGAACAGGCAACTCTAAGTGACCATATTAGCACATTGATAGATGGAAATTTTTACCTTTACTGCATCCTTTTTTCTAATAAAATGCTTTTTGTTTGCATACTGCACATGTAACATTAATGTCCTTTGTTTCCTGTCTGGGATTGGCAGTTTTTCGAATATACATCTCATAATGAAATACGTTACAACACTCGGCAGCCTGAAGCCTGTGCAGCAGTTGATTCCGGGACTGACTATTTGACAATGTACTTGTGTCAAGACAATGTTCAAAATATTCCTGAAAATCAGAAATTTGTTTTCAGAGAGGTAAGCGTGTCAGTTTTTTAACTTTATTGTTTCTGGTCATCATGCAAGCAGCACAAACCCAGAACATGGGTTGGGGCGTTACATCCAGAGCTTTTAGATAGAAACCATTATGATGAATTGTCTTATCAATCCAAAATTATGCCATTAATTGTAAAAGTAGCCTACCTCTTATGTGGTGCTAGCATCTGGAAGCGAGTCCATTTTCAAATCACAAAAAATCATAATTTTCTTACTATGTGAGTAAAAAAGAGGTGAGACTCAGAAAAAAAATTCTTAAATGGCCCATTTTTGGCTGAAGAGTCATGGTATGGCAATGAGGGAGGGAGCAGGGTGAGTGGTGATATGTGTGGGGGAAAGAGTCTTGGGAAAATGGGCTGTGGAATGAGTCCAGTCCCTCTGTGCTGATGGTGCCTGATTGTAGGGTCACTCAGCACCTCTGGCATTCCTGTCTTGGTACCTTCAACTGTATTATATTGGCATCCTGAGGCACCAGTGCTGGGAGAGTATTTCAGGTGCTTGTGCCACCTCACCCTCACTCATCTATCTCCCCCCATAGTCTCTTTGCTCCTATTCACACACACACAGAGCAGCTTGTCTCCTCACATCCCTTGTCTCCCCGTCTTCCTTTCACCATACCACTGTCTCCCAACCCCATCGCCCACCACAGCAATGCCTCCGCCTCCACCCACACCACTACCTGTTGCTGTTCCTGCCATTCTATCCCTATCTTTCTGTGTCCCAAGACTTCCTTGCCAATCCCATGCTTCCTGCTGCCTCCATAGACCTTATGCCTCACTCATTGAAGTCCCCACTATCCCTGTCCACTCACTTGCCTACCATTCTTCTCTGCCCTCCCCGTCCCAAATCCCTTTCCCTTTACATTCAAACACATACTCACATCCCCCTGTACATCACTCGTATTATCCTCTCCTTGTCCATAGCCACAGCATCTCCTGCTGTCATACCTACTTCCTCCAACCTCCGCGTATCCCAAGGCTGCCCTGCCACCCCATGGTCCCTGTTACCCCCACAATCCTTTTATCCACCAATATATACCTCCCACATCCTGCTGTCCAGGAACCATACCTGCTACCCCAGCTGTCACGCATACCCCATAGCTCACAGCCCCTTAATATCCCCCCCTCCCATCTACAATGCCCCATAACCGCCTCCTCCTTCCCCCAAGCCCTCAGCCCCCTTCTCATACAGTCCCTGCTGCCTTCCCCATCACATCACATCAAAATGTGCCTGTTCACCATCTTAACCTCTGGCAGTGTAATGTATGGATATTTTGACAAGTATTGGGAGTCAATCAAAATGGTGCCACCACCCCACTTTTCACTTTTAGCCCAGAGGAGGGCACATTTTGATGTGCTGCTATCCCCACTGCCAGAGCCTTTCCCTGCAGTGGGAAAAGGCTCCCACTGGGATACTACATTGCTAAAAATTGCAATGTCGACGGGGAAGGGACTGCTTGGCCATATAGAGAGCTGTGTAGGGTACATACCCACAGGGTTCAGGTGTGTTTTTACTTACCTACGCAGTGCCTTACTGTCTACACTGCTATTTATACCCATGCTAGAGGTGTGTATAGTGTATGTACTCTATGTGCTGCCATAAGGAGTGTGCAGTGTAGATGTATCCTAAGATGACACATTGAATGGATCCCAGACACTTCAGAAAAAGCAAGATTTGAAAAAATGTGATTTGAAATACTTCCGAGTTCAGTGCATTCAGAAGCATTAATTTTTAAGACTAATGTATTGATTTTGAGCCACTGAAATCCTCTCCCATGGCTGTTGACTTGATCACATCACTTCCTTTGAATCCCTACACTAGCTCCCCATCTTCTGTTGCATTAGATTTAAACTACCAGTCACCACCTTCATGGCTTTCTATAAATCTATCCCTTCCTACCTAACTTCCCTTTTTGAGCTTCAGATGACCTCCTACCACAAATACCGATAATAATACATTTGTACTGGGAATTGTTACTGAAAAAATTACCCAACTGAATAATGTAGTGTGACAGGGCAGCAATAATGCTATAATTAAGGCTGGGTTCTTTTTTGCATTTAGACTCTTTTGTGGGGTCTGCAGTTAGCTGATGGAAATTATGGTTTACATTGTTCCTTCCATTCTCCAGTGAAGCATGCACAAGCCTTTTTGAACAGGTTAGGAGAGGAATTAGAATGCTGCCATTTGTCATATGCCCCCATGTGATGTTTTGTGCATCCAAAACTGAGAATCTCCAGCTGTAGTATGGAAAGTTCATATGCTCTTTTAGGGAAAAAGGTCGGACAGAGGTAAATTGGAGGATAGAATTGATATGAAACTGTAAAATTGCACTAATTTATCAGAGATTGATGACAGAGGTCATAGTCTGTCATTAAAAAAGCATTTAGGAAAAACTTAGAGAGAGGGGGGAAATGCATTTTGCCATGTAGAGGCATAATTATGGGAATCCTTAATGTTGTGAATCAGAGTTTGAAGAATCATTCTCTAAAAAAATGAAAGGAACAGAATGAAGAAGAGATGAGGCTGCAGTCGCTACAGGAGCAGAATTAGGTTGTTTGTTGCATTTTTGTTTATGATGTTTGTTACATGTGTTGGCTAAAGATGATGCATTTTATAAGCGGCTGTGAAGTAGCTGTATTGTTTTTCAACAGAACTTAAATGTTGTTTCCCTAGATATTTATGTTTGTGATGTTGGTTATTCATCATGAGAAACTTTAGCCATTAGACAACATAATGGTCTTGTGTGTGGATATTATTAGGTTCAGTATTATGTTCTGACATGTATACTCTAGATGCTGGTAATAATGTACAATCATACCATTAATATTGTGACATGTATTGAAACCGATGGTAATTGCCTGATTTAAAGACATGAGGCCTGATCCAAAACTCATTGAAGTCGGTGGGAAGATTGATTCCCAATATTTGTCGAAATATCCATACATTACACTGCCAGAGGTTAAGATGGTGAACAGGCACATTTTGATGCAGGGCACATCCAATGGATTTTAAATCAGGCCCTAAGTAAATAATGAGTAGAAACTAAAAAAGGACCTCTGGATTTGGCCCACAAATTTTATGCTGTCAATGATAATTACATTTGTGTTATGAGAGTTATTTCCAAATCAGAGAATTTTTGCATTTTGCAATAGACAACTGTTAATAGTTCATCCCTGGGGTTGTCTACATGGTGGGGTAACACACATTTACATGGCTGTGATTTCTAAAGTGCACTAGCATGTTGTGCATTAACTACTCTGTGTAGATGCTGTTGGTGCATGCCAAAGTAATTTACTGCCATTGAAACGGTAGTATGTTAAAGTGCAGTAGGGAACCTTTAGTGCACACCAGCAGGGTCTATACAGAGCAAATCAATGTACACATGCTAGTGTGCATTACCCCACTGTGTAGACAAGCCCTCTGTGAGACCTAGTTCATTATATGTATGAAAAATTCCACTTAGAACCCAATCTGCTTGCAGAAACTCTTACTGAAGCCAGTGGGAGCACCAAACACAGGCTTGCAGGATCAGGCTGTTTGTAAGAGGAAACTAGGTAGTAATGGGAGCAATTATATAGATTTTTTTTCTTTATTTCCCTTTCTAAAGAGATCTGTTTAAGGGCATATATTTTAAGTTGTATAATATATGCTGTAATGATATCTTATAGGTGTGCACTATAAATTTGCTTTTTTTTATTTTCAAAATAGTGTGATCTCTAATATAAGAAACAAAAGAGGCATCTTTTGACAGATTATTAGGAGAACTCCAATTTTATAGGCAGTAAATATTCTCACTTCCAAATCTCCCTGTTTTAGTTAGGTCATATCTAATGAAGAAAGTTTGCCCAGATTCTAGCATATCCAAACAAGTGGATGTCTAACAACTGAAAACAGGCACAATTTCACTAACTCAGTGGTGTAATGTCCCAAGGTGTTTATCTATAGGATTTGGTTGTATATAACTTGGCCAACTTTCAAGACACCTATAGGGAATGGTGAACATTTGAATGTGTTCTTTGAGGTACATGGAGTTGTGTCTAGGGGTCAGTAATTTCTTCGGGCGCTTATACCATGCTCATCTAAACCTAAATTCACAGCTGTTGAAATAAGTTTCTTTAAGACAAATTCTGCCTTCAAATTACACATAACTACCATGGAAATCTATGGTAGTTGTGCATGCTATCATAGTGCAGGATTTGGTCCATTCTTTTAATTGAACTAGCATACTTAGAAAGAGGGTATTTACCAGTAATTATGGTTCTTTGAGGGATGCTTCTACATATTCACACTCATGAGATTGAAGGTGCCTGCTCTGCAGTCTTCCATGTACAAGCATCGCTTCATGGCATCAAATGTTTGGGGACTTAAAGCTAGATAAGGGAAGTGTAAGTCTCAGTCCTTTTCTTCTGAACCCCAGAATCCAGAGATGTGTAAGAATTCTGAGGGAGAGAGGGAGAGGGGGAGGTAGGTAGAGAGTGTGAATATGCAGAAGCACCCCTTAAAGATACACAGTAACTCGTAAGTAACTTCTCTTCTTTTGAGGACCTCTTCATATTTCCACTCATGAGAGACCAGCAAGCAGTTCAACCCAGATGGAAGATGGGCAGAAGAGTGACATAAGTACTGTAAATCCTGTCTGCTCAAGCTAACATCATAGTGGAACTCTGACACCAACTTTGGGAGGAACTTAGGATAATGTTTTAGTACTGCTTTGTATTTGTAAAACAGTAAGTGGTGGGTCAAGCCATCAAAGCATGCAATTCACCCCAGCAGCCTGATCAGAATTAAGTTTAAATCCTGTGTTGGCACTGGGACTTAAACTAGTAGATATTGGTCAACCCTTTCATGAACCTGGATACCATGGACTGAAGATGGAAAAACCTTCAACAGGAGGGGGAATAGGCCAAAATTGCAGATTTGTTGACACTGATGGATGTCAGAGTCCTTGATTTTTAAGATTTAACAAGTAGTCCGCTACTGGTGACAAAGAGGCAGAGCACCAGGAAAACCTGTTTTCCACTCAGAACCAGTGCATCTACACTAGCATCAGAGGTATTTGTTGCCTATTGGAGCCAAGAGAGGTTATGGTCTAACCTGGAAACAGCTGGGTCCTGGAACTTCCTCCTGGACTGGGAAAGGGGACTTTGATTTCTCCACAGTTGGATATGTAGCTTCCTAGGAACCTAATTTCTTGGCAGGCATTGCTGACGGAGTTGAGGTTCGCTTGGATGAACTCGAGACTCCTGTAATCAGAAGGCCTTAAGCGTCAGCTTGATGTTCCTTGGGGACTCTGTGTATGAAGAGCTGGCAGACCTTGCATCCATCCAAGGCTTGCACTACCCTGAAGCAAAATAGGCATCTAACTTCACAAAGATTCTGGGCAAGAGACACACCTGGAATAGAGGCACTAAAATTATGGCCACCTAAGCAAGATGAGTAAATTACCTTAAAAATTATATAGAATTCCTAAAACTACCAACAGAAATAAAAACTGTTTACAAAATAAGCAAAAAGCTAAGGATTTTTGTCAGACAAGGTCATATGAGGGGAACATAAGAATGGCTATACTAGGTCAGACCAAAGGTCCATCCATCCCAGTATCCTGTCTACCGACAGTGACCAATGCCAGGTGCCCCAGAGGGAGTGAACCTAACAGGTAATGATCAAGTGATCTCTCTTCTGCCATCCATCTCCACCCTCTGACAAACAGAAGCTAGGGACACCATTCCTTATCCATCCTGGCTAATAGCCATTAATGGACTTAACCTCCATGAATTTATCTAGTTCTCTTTTAAACCCTGTTATAGTCCTAGCCTTCACAACCTCTTCACGCAAGGAGTTCCACAGGTTGACAGTGTGCTCTGTGAAGAAGAACTTCCTTTTATTTGTTTTAAAGCTGCTGCCCATTAATTTCATTTGGTAGCCCCTAGTTCTTATATTATGAGAACAAGTAAATAACTTTTCCTTATTCACTTTCTCCACACAACTCATGATTTTATATACCTCTATCATATCCCTCCTTAATCTCCTCTTTTCCAAGCTAAAAAGGCCTAGCCTCTTTAATCTTTGCTCATATGGGACCCGTTCCAAACCCCTAATCATTTTAGTTGCCCTTCTCTGAACCTTTTCTAATGCCAGTATGTCTTTTTTGAGATGAGGAGACCACATCTGTACGCAGTATTCAAGATGTGGGCATACCATGGATTTATATAAGGGCAATAAGATATTCTTTGTCTTATTCTCTATCCCTTTTTGAATGATTCCTAACATCCTGTTTGCTTTTTTGACTGCTGCTGCTGCTGCACACTGCGTGGACGTCTTCATAGAACTATCCACGATGACTCCAAGATCTCTTTCCTGATTAGTTGTAGCTAAATTAGCCCCCATCATATTGTATGTATAGGTTTTCAAATGTGCATTACTTTACATTTATCCACATTAAATTTCATTTGCCATTTTGTTGCCCAATCAGTTAGTTTTGTGAGATCTTTTTGAAGTTCTTCACAGTCTGCTGTGGTCTTAACTATCTTGAGCAGTTTAACCCTTAGGTTCCTCTAGCCACAGCTTGTGCCAGTAAGAAAGAAATTGAGGTTCTTGGGCCCCATTGCTGCAAAGCAACATTCATGTAAACCCAAAAGACACAGTTTTTGACCTTGGCATCAGGCGCCTTGGATTCAGTTCAGTGCTTTTAAGGAAAAGTATAAGTTTAGATATAGATGTTTCCTGTTACATTTCAAATATGGTAAAATTTAATGAATAACTCTAATCTTAAGACTGTGCTGTAAATAATAATTTTCCATCATCTTTTGTAGGATGGTACTTTGTTCCATGTACAAACCCAGAAGTGCCTACAAGCCGAGTCTAACTCTTACAATGGCAATCCAGCACCATTATTGCGACCATGTAGCAATTCAGAATACCAAAAATGGTTCTTCAAAGAAAGAAGTTGATCCAGATGTCATCAACTGTATGGCAGAATATGAAAATATTAACTTTCTAGTCAGCAGCTAGGAAATCTGTGGACAAATTACATAGCTGATCTATTTTTGTATGAAAAGAGTTGTAACTTGTTTACAAGTTGTAAACCTTGTTTTCTGGAGCACTAAAAGACATTAAGTGTTGAACTCTATTGAACGAGCACTGTGAATATACTGTGCTGCAGAAATCTCCTCTTCCACTGTTCTCTTTACTTGGCAGCTATACTGTTTCTAAAATGTTTTATGTTTTTCATACATGACTATATTTTTTTAACCTACTGTGTGCAAGTAAGGAAGTGAAAGTAATTGCACTAAAGCTATCTGCCAGTAACTTTAAAATCTTTATTTTTCTAAAACATTCTACAGTGGTGGCTTTTTAACAGATATTAGCTAAGGATTCTTCTTTTAAATTCCAAAAATGTAAATTTAGGTCAAATTCTGCCCTGAGATGTGAAAGTCAAGCAGAGCTCTCATTGAAATCAATGTGGAGTTGCACATCTACATCTCAAGCCAGACTAGGTCCTAATAATTTTGCACAAATAACACTCCAGATTGCACATATACTGAATGTTATAACATTTTAAATGTTCATGGTACTTGACAGATTCCTAATAAAGCTGCTTAAGGTTATCTTTGGAGTAAAATTAGTGATTATTTACTGCTCTTTCGTTAGTGTAAGAAATAAAGCACCAATATTAAAAATAACTTTGTGGGGAAAAATTAAATTCATATGGGGCCCAATCTTAGAAGTGTGTAGTATGTACTTCAAATGGAAGTTCTGCATGCACAAATCGTTCAAGATCTGACTCATAGACACTAAAGCTTTAATTCAAAGTTCAGTTTTTAAGCAAATACATTTAAAAATGGCACTCCTTTTCTACAAAAATCATTGAAACAAAAATTGTTTTATAATAAATTTAAGTGATAAGTTTTGTAATTGATGCTAATCTAAACATTTGTTTTCATGATTGTAATTGTTTTCTAAGAATTTTGATTATGAATAACAAGCTGTTCAATTCATCATGTACATTCCTGCTGAAGTCTGGATATTTAATTAGCATCTATACAAGATGTTGTTTGCTTAGAGCATAGGAATTGCCATACTAAATCAGACAAGTTATCATAGTCCAGTAGTTTGTCTTTGACAGTGGTCAGCAACAGATGCTTCAGCCCATAGAGCAAGTTTCTTCCTTATCGCTGTCAGAGGTCCACTTATGTGCTAAAGCATGAGTGTTTATATCTCTTCCAAAATACTTATTCTTTTATCCTTACTTTTGTAATTGTGGACGTTCTTGTTATCCATATAAACATCCATACCTTTTCTGAATCCTAGTGAACTCATGTCATATTTGCATACTTATTTCATGATTGTTGGGGACTCTGTGCCTTTAGAGAATATGTATGTAGGTTCTTCCAAGATTGTTGCAAAACTAATGTTTTTATAAGCACCTTTACAATTCTGTCTCTGTGGATTTGGTTGATGAAACTGATATTGGATCTAATAAAATAATTTGTGAATTAATAGTTTCAAAACTCTTTTGTAAGTATTTCTTTCTTGCGGTCTCAATATTTTTCTCTCAGAATTTCTCTGATCTTTGGCCCTGATCCTTCCAACATTTAAGCACATAGGAAAAGACAACTGTTTTATCTTACACTCTTGTTAGTTCTTTTTTCCTAATAACCTCTTGCCTCGCTCTCTCTGTTTGTATACAAATTGCAGTAGTTTTACTCACCTGCTGGATACCAAATTAGTATAAATTACACAACTTTACCACTAACCATTTACAACTGTTTCCTTACCCACTTACATTGCCATTTAGCTGACTATTGAATTTGTCCCTGGATATCTAAAAATCTACAAAGAAATAGGGTAGTGGCTTCAGTCCAGTACATATAGTACGGGAACAAATAAAAGAACTGACTGTGTGTGTGTGTGTGTGCGCGCAAGAGAGGAAGAGACAATAAAATAAAAGTGTGAGGTAGCATCACCATGATTGTGAAGGGACTAAATAGAGGCTCAAACTCATTAGCACTTTTGTTCACTGGCTAGTAGCACCTGTGTTCAGTTTAAAAAAAAAAAAAAAGCCATTCTGTTGGATCCACAAATCAAAACCAGATGTTGGCATAAGAGAGAGGTGTTAAAATTAAAGCAAGATTATCTGGTCACTTCTGTTTCCTTCTGGTACTTTTAAAAATTGTATGATATTAATCAGTTAAAGAGCCATATATTACAGTCCATACACGCACAGATCTCCCATTGAAGACTTTGAGTTTTCATGAAGTCAGGACTTTAGGATTTCACCTGTAGGTGGTGATATGCAAATAAGATGAAGAAAAAACAGACTTCACAACAGAATTGTACAGAGAGAAAGCCTAGTGTGAACCATCTGTTAAGAAAAGCAGTGAGGTTTAGGTTTACAGTAACATAAAATTGCATAAAACTCCTGTTTTCTCACAGCAAATCCTCTGGTTTGAGGAAATGACTAGGTAACTATATACAAATTCACCACAGAAGCAACCATGGGATAAAAATTTGATGTACTCCAGGCTCTTCACTTAGAAGTCAGGGCACTCTCTCAGAACCAGTTTGCTATTTCTATAGCTATGGCATGCAGTCTGCTCTCTGATAGGGATTTACAGCTGGTGACTCTAGGGCTTTTGTGTGCCAGGCCACCTGCTGCTTCTCTTCTCCCTCTCTCGCCCCAGTAGCCTAGTAATGCGTTTGGCTATAGGATCAGTGCACAGTCCAGCATCTGCCTGGACAGAGTGTGCCTTTAACCAAATGGTAAGATTCTGTTCCCTTTGAGGGAGATCATGGCTGGCTGGGAGTCAGTCTTTCAGTACCCCTAAGTGGGATGGGTTGAGAACTCTTGACTTCACCTCATTGGTGGAGAAGAGATTGATGTGTCAAGGGAAGGGTGGAGCTACAACCAAGACTAATGCCAGCCATAGGGCCTTGTGGGGCATATGGCCGGACCATGGCCAAACGGGATCCACTCTACATGTGCAGTAGCTGTTGTGTAAGGTATGCCTACAGAAACCAAAGGTCATCCCCCATTTTGAAAAACAGGGTTCTGGATAGCTGGGATCAGACCAGGCTTTGGCTGGCTGAAGCTTAGAGCAACTTTTCATTGCTGTGCTTTGTAATATATAAATATATACTTGTTTAAACAGAAGCTCTCCATGTATTGATAAGAACACCACAGCCTGCATGTGTACTGTGGCAGGACCATTTAACACTTTACTCTTATCCTCTCACATATAGATATCACCCGGGTCATGCCACAGATGACTCCAGCCACCCTGGGACCTTCTTTCATGGGGTGCTTGTCAATCCTGAGACCTTTATGATCCTGAATAAAATATTGCTTATTTGGCCTCAACACTGTCCATCCCTGGCCTTGGTTCCAATCATCCTGAATCTGGCTATGCCACACTAGCTGCTGTTAACTTCTGTATCTGTTTGGCCTGATCAAAGAGTTCTAGTCTCCCTGTGGGCTCCTGTTTCTATGAGAGGCTGATTTCATAGTCACAGTACAGTCTCTGGACTGTTCCTTATCAGCTCTATGGTAAATACTTGGAGGGAGACTGCTGTCTCAGCTCTGCCTGCCACACTGGGGAACTTACAGGACAAGCCTGTGTCACAGTCATAAGGTTAACCTTTGAAGCGATTTCTTTTAAAAAAAAAAAAAAAAAAAAAAACCTTTAAAAGGGCCAAGACAACCTCTTAAAACAAAATAAAACAAATTAACACACACACACACACCATGAGGTGTCCTGTTTCCTCCTGTGTTAGAGAGACATCTTTTCTTCTTCTGCCATGTAGCTTGTGAGAAGGACTTAGAACTTGCAACTCTGGATATATTGATAACATTATCCTGAAAGTGAACAGGGTGCTGGCAGTTCAAGAAGGGAAATCTCTGTTATTTTTCCTCTGGTAAGGTTTCCCTTAAGAATACACAAAGCAAGAAAGATATTCTTTCCTGCTGTTTAACTTTTTTGGAAGAGGCAGTGACTGCACGTTGCTCAGTAGAAGAATGAATACGCAGTCGCAGGCCTATGTTAATCTGTATAAAATCCTAAGGAAAAGTGGAAGAATAAATTTGGCTCTAAGGTAGGTTCTAATTCCCTTTACTGGGTCAATAGAACCATGTTTTCTGTGATTACCACTTCCCTCAAAGACCTAATGGATAACAAAATTAGAGCTTTTCTTTAAGGGATTATCATAACACAACCAGAGCGGTTCTGTGTTCTGCTAGGTCCTTTACCTCCACTCCTAAAGTCTTGCTCTAGGCTCTACACATGTAGCCATGATCTAGGCTTGGAAGGGTAAACCAGGAGAAGAATTTCTCAAAGCTGCATTTCTCAAATGCATGCAGTTTTTCCTGATTTTCCCTACCACTAAGTTTCCTTTTGCTGCTAAACAGGGTATTCAGCTCCAGTATTTGTTGCAAGCTTACTTCCTGCTAGAGTAAGTTTATTACTCATTAATATTAATGAGTAATAAACTTAGTAAATCCCTTCATTAAAGGGAAGTTTTGCTCTAATTGAGATTTGTAAAATTCAACACCCTAGACTGCTCCTCATCTAAGCTAGCCAAGAGGAGATGCCAAATTGAGAAGTTTGTGCTATGTCCAATCCCTCTCTTAAAGATGGGCATCTAAATGCAGGCTACAGGGAGACACCTATTTCTTCTCGGGCATCTCAGCTGCAAACCTATGCTGTTTTAGCAAGAATCTGAGGGGGAGTACTCCTGCAACTTTTAGCCCATGGATTAGGATAGTCACCTGGGATGTGGGAGACCCCCTAGTTCAAGCCCTCCCTTTGCCTGAAGCGGAAAGAGAGGATCTGAACAGAGACTTTCCACCTATCACTCAAGTGCCCTAACCACTGAGCTAGGGCATATTCTGGTATAAAGGACTCCCTCGGTCTCTCCTGCTGAAGCTGTTCCACTGTGGACAATAAATTAAAAAGTCACTAAAGCAGGAGAACTGGATCCTGTGTCTCCCACATCCCAGGGTCATGCGCTAACCACAGGCTACCGAGTCATTATGAAGTTTTCTTTTGGGCCCAATGATTCTTTCATTATTTAATCCAAAGTGTAGATATGGTACAAAGGATATTTTGGGGGTGGGAAATAAGATTATGGATTTTTAAAAATTCTTTAGAACTCAAGTTCATCTTTCCACAGAAGAATATGGTTCTTCTTCAAATAAACTTATGAAGAGTTGCCCTCTTTCAAAATGGCCACCATCTCACATTGTTGTCACTGCTACTGAGGTTGCAGGTTGCCTTAGCAAAGATAACTACCATCACAATTCCTCGTCTCCTCCTAGCATTCTCCTCTGACTCATGACAGCATAGAGGCCAACATCTTTCCTACGGGCAGCTGAGTTTCACTCACTTTAAGAACAGTGGAAGGCAGATCCTATATTTGCTAAGGATAGCCTGTGGCATCAGCCCCATTGAGTAAAATGGGAGACAGTTGTCATTTTAAGAAGACCCACTAAACTGAGGGCAGCTTCTGACCTCAATGGGACTGCCCCTCACCCAAAGCTCACACAAAGTCAGTGCCATCACGTGGAGGTTCTGTATCTGCATTTTGGCTCTGGGACCCCATGAGCCTTATGACTTAGGAAGCACTTTTCAACTGCAGACACTTTTGTCTGATAGTTGCCTCCAGAACTCTTAAAGGAGGGTTCCAGGTGCTGGGGGCTGCAGAACAGTTAATGAAAAAACTACATTACTGTAATGTTAAGGTTGAAAAGTGAAGCCCAGAAATCAGTATATAAAAAAGTAAGGTTTCCATAGCATGTTAACTTGATTATATTCTATGTACAGTACAGTGTATATAGTCCATA